CATACTGCAATTCTCCCGACAATCCAAGCACAGAGCTGACAATTTCAGCCGTGAAGGGTCCCAATCCAGCAGGTTTATCACATGCTTTCAAGTATCAGCAGTTAAGACCGTGGAAAGAGGTTTAATGGGACAAGTTAACAGAAACGATTCCGTAATCAGTGAATCAGAGTGAAGATCAGACCATGGATTTCAAGGTCCAAAACTGTGCATCCCTGACATGATAGAAAATAAATCTGCTGCAGTGCAAACAGAGCAACTGTGTCAGTGAAAGGACATTACCTGTAACAAGGTTCTCCAGACGGATCCTCTCGTGAGCTGCGTGCTGGTCCACCAAAACAAGCAGATTACCCTCTACTGAAGAACGCACAGGCAAAGTTAGTTTCTGGAGACCAGGGTCCTGTTTTTACACACATACATACTCTGTACTCTGTAAGTCTAGCTTGTGAGTATGTAAAAGCTTATTTGAATTACAGTGAATCAGAATTCACACCAGAATTAAATAAAACTAAAGGTATTCCTAGACTCAGTAGCAATAATGTTATTATGTATTTGTAGCCCATCCCTCCCATAAACAAGCAATTTATATTTGTGTTGGCTTTTCATGGGCTCAATCTCTATTATAACTTACTATTTCCAAATCCATGAAATGAAAGTTCATAGAGGCAACAGACTTCATACAAATGTTTGGGGCACTTCTAGAGTTCAAAGAGAGTCCTATATGGTTTATATAAAAAAAGTAATCACTTTGTGTGTTTATCAGGACTTCCTATGTTTGTGGGAACATTTACTCAGTTCTTGGCTAGAGAAACGTGCTGCTGCACCGCTCTCAAGATACGTACACACTTCTCACCTGAACGCAAAGAATACAGAACAGCTCACCTGCAGAGTCTGTGCTTCCTCCATCCCCTTTGTCTTTTGTGTTGATAAGGCAAGCCAGGAACTTCTTATCCACTTGCTGGACAATCTGCAGAAAAGGTACGTAATCAGAAACACAAATTCCTGTTCAGTCTTCCTGGTCACTACATGATCGGGCTTACTTGTTAGGCTGTTAATGTATGATACATTAACCCCTGAGAGTTGGATCTCATTTGCTATTTATTTTTGTCTTATATATTACCAGCAACATTGAACAGAGCCGCACTGTGTCCAGATAGTAATACATCAACTCATTCTAGGTGAGTCAATATAAGGAAGATATACTTGCCTTCATTGAGTGGATCATTTCCTTTGTGAAGCGGTAGGGGTAGAGAATGCTGTGGATCTTCACAGCCAGCCCTTCAGCCTGCCCACAGCTCACATCCAGGCCAACCTTCCAGACAATTATCAGAGAGCCATTACATTAAGAAAACTGTACCACTGGGCACTGAGATCCTCTCAAACTACCAGATTAGTGTCTTTAACCTTTGTCACACCATTGGTAGCAGCCATACTGTAGGTAAACCAAATATCAGACTATGTCTATCTATAAAGCTCAGAAGACCAGTAGAGATGTAAAATCAATAAAATACATGCCCAATTGAATGATTTTAGAAATCACATATATTTTATTCCAGAAGCTAATAATTAATTACTTATTGTCTAATTTACCTCTGGTTTCCGAACAAAGACCGGGTTCTCCCACTCGGAAAACAGAGACCAGACTGACTCGGCAGCGCTGGGATCATCTGGAATCAAAAATGATTAACGTGAAGGAGCACAGGTACCAAGGACCACCTTGAGCTGCAGGAAGCAAGTGCAGTAACGTCAGGTCATTTTCAGCCTGGGCTAGTGTACTGTATGTGACTCCTCACCTGTGCCGTCTCGCCCTGAGCTAACTCTCTCTCCCTTGGGCCGAGGCAGGAAAGGCAGAACGGCCTCTGTCTGAAAGGGGTAACACCTGTACTCAAACCCTACAGGGAAAACACACTCAATACAGACTGCCAGGTACACACATCATCATCCTAATACTTTATACCCTTTACTAATGTGCCACCTTTTCAAATGCATTTTATTCATATTTAACCTGTTTATACTTCCTAAACGAACTTGAACAGTTATTTTACTTTCTATTCACAATGTTACAGGCCATAAAAAGGCAAAACACAGCCCGACACGTTCTATTTGAAACAAGTTTGTGTTTTTAAATGAGGAAAACCCTACCTCTTGGTTACTCTGCAACTGTGGCCACTTACCTTTGCTGGAGACCACGTTCACTGCCATGGTTGTGATGTCTGTGGTACAGAGTGCCTGGGGTGCTTCAGCTGGAGGAGCCTCATACTTGCTGAGTCCTGTCACTGGGTTTATGTAGACCATCTTCCCCACGCACTCATCGAAATGCTCCACCCAGTCAGAAGAACCTGCTGCCAAACCTGGACTTTCATTCTCCTGCATCCGTCCTGGAGATGTGTCTGCCGCAAAGCGATAGGCGTCTCTCGAGACTTCTTTCCCTGGGCTGTCCACAGCCTCACAGGAAGGCTGGTTTTCGCTGTGGCCTGTAACGGCTTTGTCTGGGCGGCCACCTTCACAAAGGGTATCTCCATTGATAGTGACAGAAGAACACGATTCTTTGGAAGTTACTAGAGTGACTTTCTTTAATGGGTTTAATTCAACAGTTGTATCACCTGGACAACTCAGA